CCAAGTACCAAAATGGCAATTATTACATACATATTAATAATTACTTTAAATGTAAATGGGCTAACAGCTCTAATCAAAAGATATAGGGTGGCAGAATGGATAAGAAAAACAATATTCATTGGGGTCATGTTGGTGGCTCAGTGGCTGAGCATCTGCCTTTGGCTCAGGTCATGATCTCAGGGTTTTGGGTTTGAGTCCTGGATCAGGCTCCCCACAGCAAGCCTGCTTCTCCATCTATGTCTCTGCCTCTGTGTATCTCTCATGAATAAATAAAATATTAAAAAAAAAGAAAAACAATATCCATCTAAAGATGCCAACAGGAGTCTCACTTCAGACCTAAAGCCTCATAAAGATTGAAAATGAAGGATTAAAAAAAAATTCACCATGTAAACAAAAGCAAAAAAAAAAATTCAGGATGGCAATACTTATATCAGACAGGACAGACTTTAAAACAAAGAGAGAAGCAAGAGACAAAGATGGTCATTACACAATGATAAAGGGATTAATCCAAAAAGAGGATATGGCAATTATAAATATCTTGATCATATGCTATAAAACTAGAAATAAATCACAAGAAATAAGTGAAAATGTCACAAATATATGGAGACTCAACAACGTAATACCAAACAGTCAACAAAGTAATTAAAGGAGAAATAACAAAATGCATAGACACAAAAATAAATGACAACACAATGGTCCAAAATTTTGGAAACGCAGCAAAAGCAGTTCTGAGAGAAGTATATAGGGATATCACCCTACCTCAAGAATCAAAATAAAGCTCCAATAAACAATTTAACATGTAAGGAACTAGAAAAATCCCAAGTATTTTTCAAAGAACTACAACAAATAATACTGAAATTTGTATGAAACCACAAAAGACTGAATAGCCAACACAATCTTGAGAGTGAAGAACAAAAGCTAAAAGTGTCATAGTTCCAGATTTCAAGATATATTACAAAACTGTACTAATCAAAAAACTATGGTACTCGTACAAAAAAATCAACACATAAATCAAGAGAACAAAAGAGAGAGTTCAGAAACAAACATAGGATTAAATGGTCAATTAATCTATGAATAAAGAGGCGAGAATATGCAATGGAGAAAAGATAGTCCTTCGATAAATGGTGCTGTGAAAATTGGATAGCTACATGAAAAAGAAGGAAATTAGACCACTTTTTAACATCACACACAAACTCAAAATGGATTAAAGAACTCAACATAAGACCTGAAACCATAAAAATCCTAGAAGAGAGCACAGGCAGTAATTTCCCTGGCATCAGCCATAGCACTATTTTTCTAGATATGTCTGCTGAGGCAAGGAAACAACATCAAAAACAAACTATTGGGACTACGTCAAAATAAAAAGCTTTTACACAGCAAATATAATTATCAACAAAACAAAATGACAACCTACTGAATGGGAGAAGATATTTACAAATGATATATGTAATAAAGTATTAATATCCAAAATATATAAGAAATTTATACAACTTAATACCAAAAAAGCCCAACAATCCAATTAAAAAATGGGCAAATGACATACATACATTTCTCCAAATACATATAGATAGCCAACAGACACATGAAAATATGTTCAACATCACTAATTATCAGGGAAATGCAAATTAGAACCACAATGAGATATCACTATAAACCCGTCAGAATGGCTAAAACCAAAAATACAAGATACAAAAAGTTTTAGCAGGACATATAGAAAAAGGAACCCTCTTGCACTGTTGGTGGGAATGCAAGAGGAGCAGCCACTGTGGAAAGAGTATGGAGGTTGCTCAAAAGCTTAAAAGTAGAAATATCTTATGATCCAATAATGCACTATTATTTACCGCCAAAACACAAAAACATTAATTTGAAAAGATGTATGCACCCATATGCTCACCACAGCATTATTTGTGATAGTCAAGATATGGAAGCAAACTAAATGCCCATCAATAGACAAATGGATAAGAAAGTATTATGTATATACATACACACACACACACGGAATATTATATAGCCATAAAAAGGAGGAGGTGTGCCATTTGAGAAAACATGGATTAACCTAGAGGGTATTGTGTGAAGTGAAATACATCAGACAAATACTTAAGTGGAAGTTTTTTAAAATGAGTAAACAAACAAAAAGCAAAATGAGATGCATAAATCCGGACCACTAACTGGTGGTTGTCAGAGGAGAGGAGTGTGGAGTGTGGGGTGTTGGGAAAAATGGTTGAAGGGAAGTGGGAGATACAGACTTCTAGTTATTGAATGAGTAGGTCATAAGAATGAATGCACAGCTTGAAGAATACAGTTAAAGATGGTGTAAGAGCAGTGTATCAGGACAGGCCGTAGCTACGCTTGTGGTGAACAAGGTATAATATATGGTCTTGTTGAATCACTATGTTGTACACCTGAAGCTAATGTAACCTTGTGTGTCAACTATATACACATACATAGCTTCTGAAAAATCCTTGGATTTTTCTTTTAAACAAACATTTAATGAGCACATTACCTGCTGGACTGACACTAGCTAATTTCACCTACAATATCACAGCTAAGTAAAATCTTGGTTATTTCTGCTCTCACCACAACTCTGTATACTTATTATTCCATGAAGGAAAATCTCTGGTCGCTGAAATTGGACCCAATTTTTATTATCTTAACTACACCACAAGCACAATCTGATTTTACCTTCTCAAGCCTGAATGTCATTGGAAAAGAAAAATAAAGCCTAGAAGAACCATTGGATAAAAACGAACAGAGTACTGCATGTATAACCCAAAATGGGTTCCATACAACAATTTCTATATTTTGGATTCATAACTAAAGGATTCATTGGCTAGTTCTCTGTTCATCTGAATGTGAAACAGCTCCCTTGCCAAGGTGATTTTCTCCTGGCAACCAACTCTTGAGTAAATATCAAAAGGAGAGTTTATCCACTGAATACTAGTTTGACCCAAATTACAATTCGTCTGATTAAATATTAAGAACTAATTTGAAGTGGGTGATCCATTATTAAATAAAAGTCGAAGAACCTTCCTTCCGTTTCATTTCTTGTGATTACATGCACCTGCCACGATGGCTGAACAGCAAAACAACACTCTACATATAGCAGACTAGTTCTCATAATTTCAGCCTGTGTCTATCTGGACAAATCACCCATTTCAATGTGTTCTTTAGTGAGTCATATACAATGTATATCTATGATGGCTTTTTTTAAAGCTTTTTTTTTTTTTTTTTTTTTAAATTTTATCCATTTTATGATAGTCACACAGAGAGAGAGAAAGAGGCAGAGACACAGGCAGAGGGAGAAGCAGGCTCCATGCACCGGGAGCCTGACATGGGATTCGATCCGGGGTCTCCAGAATCACGCCCTGGGCCAAAGGCAGGCGCCAAACCGCTGCGCCACCCAGGGATCCCTAAAGCTTTTATTTATTTATTTGACACAGAGAAAGAGAGTACAAGCAAGAGGAGTGGCGGGCAGAGGCAGAAGCAGGCTTCTTAGTGAGCGGGGAGCCCAATGCAGGGCTGGATCCCAGGACCTGAGATCATGGCCTGAGCCCAAGGCAGATGCTTAAATGATGCAGCCACCCAGATGCCCCTCTATCATGGCTCTTAAGGCATTTAGGTTAAAACAGAGCTTTAAATAAGGGAACAGAGAAATTCAGTACATGTAAAAAAAAAAAAAAAAAAAAAGTTTAGCCAGGAGAGGTAAGGAGTTTCTCCCTGTATATTACATATAGATCTATTTGAGCAAAGAGAAAAAGAATATTCGACCCTCCTACACATGACAGGCTGTAAGATATATTAGAAAGGGAATGAATGTGAATTAATCGGAAACTGCAGATTCCATTCCAAGCCCCCATTCTGCTGCTCACCATCAATTTGGCCAGATATAAATAACAACCTCTCCAAGTTTTGTATTCATATTTGCAAAACTGATAAAAAGATCCTGACTTACCCACTTCAGGGAATTGCTAAGGGAATCAAAGAGATAATAGAAATTGCCTTCATAAAGTCTTAAAAGCTACATAAGCATTTAAACCCACCATTCCTGGGGATCCCTGGGTGGCGCAGCGGTTTGGCGCCTGCCTTTGGCCCAGGGCCCTATCCTGGAGACCCGGGATCGAATCCCACATCAGGCTCCTGGTGCATGGAGCCTGCTTCTCCCTCTGCCTGTGTCTCTGCCTGTCTCTCTCTGTGTGACTATCATAAATAAATAAAAATTTAAAAAAATTAAAAAAAAATAAACCCACCATTCCAACTTTTCCTTTTATTTATTTTTCAAAGATTTTATTCATTTATTCATGAGAAACAGAGAGGAGAGAGAGAGAGAGGCAGAGACACAGGCAGAGGGAGAAGCAGGCTCCTCACAGGGAGCCTGAGGTGGGACTCCATCTTGGGACTCCAGGATCAGCCCCTGGGCTGAAGGCAGCGCTAAACCACTGAGCTACCCAGGCTGCCCCCAAGTTTTCCTTTTAGGAGAAGGTAGGTGAGAATCACAGTAAAGAATATTTCAGCAGGAATGAGGAGACCTAGCTAGACCTCTGGCTCTGCCCCACAGTAGCTGTGTGATTCTCCAACACAGCATGCACCCTTCTCAAATTTCTGCTGCTTACCTATAAAATGTGGAAAAGTCTGATGGAATATTTAAAAATCACAGATTTTAGAACCTGAACATTTGGCAGAGTACCATATATTGAGCAAAACTCTTTTTCCCTCCAGATTTTGTATTTCAAGAGAACAATGACTTAAAGTCAGAGGGACCTGCAGCTGCTGCCAATGCCATGTGTCCACCTTTAGAAATTTTAATCACAGATTATTGGGGGTAGTCAAGGAGGAAAGCAACTTTACATGCTTTGACACAACCTTAATTGCATGATAAATGTACTTCCAAATAACTCTGATCAAATTCCACTGGCTTTTAATTCAAGGATATAGCGATCTTTCATATTCCTTAGACATTCTGATGCACCTTAAATACACATTATGAAAGCCATTATCTATACCTGAAAAGGCTGCCTGCTGGAAAGATTGAGCTGTTTCCTTATCCATCTGTTGCCTTGATTCCCAAATATCTGCCACAGCAGCTGTCCTCTTGTGTTACTCCAAACTCTCTGGTAGATGGCCAGCCTATAAATATGCTTTCCAAACATGTGGTAATATAAGCGGAAGGTGCAGCCCCCTGCATCGGTGGCATTGAGGACAGGGCTGAGTAAAGTAGCTCTGTTTTGGAAAACCTGTGGCTCCGAAGATTCTATGTAGAGATAGTGTCCTTTAGCTGTGCCCAAGGTATGATCCTTCATTGGCCCTGTATTAAGTGTTGAAGTTGGACCGTGCTTCCTGGTCCAATCAAAGTCATCTTCTGTATCTTGTTCCCAGTTACAGATTCCATTTTCAAAGTTACATTGGAACTCAGGTACTGAAATTGGCATTAAATAACAACAAAAAAATAATGAAGGACAAAAAAAAATGATTAAGAATGCTTGTGATATTTGGCTCCTACCAAGGTTAATGATTTTAATGTTTTTTTAAATGTGACACTAAAAGTTTTTAAAAAGTGAATAAATCCTAGATTTATATCAAGTAATAATATTTTATAGACTGGGGGGGGCATTACTTCAGCCATTATTTTCCAAATGCTTTTTATACCCATCCTTCACCATTTCCAGCACTATAACTTTATGCAAATGATGAGGGCACCATGGCTGACTCAATACTATAAACTTCTGGCTCAGTCGATTCCAACCTTAGCCAAATGTCCCAATCACCAGTGAATGTTAAAAATCAAAACAAAACAAAAAACATGAAGTTCCAGAACTCATCTTCAGAGATGTTGATTTATTTTTTTTAAGATTTATTTATTTTAGAGAGAGAAAAGGGGGTTCAGAAACAGAGGGAGAGATAATCTCAAGCAGGCTCTCCACTGAGCACAGAGCCCTACACGGGGCTCAGTCTCACAATCCTGAGATGATGACCCGAGCTGAAATCAAGAGTTGGATGCTGAACCAACTGAGCCACCCCGGCACCCCCAGAGATGTTGACTGAACTGCCACAAATAGTGCAGTTGAACATCAAGATACTTCATTATCTCCCTTGGCGATTCTAACATGCAGAACTGAAGAGTCATATTTTAATAGAGTCCAATCTTTCAGAATCACCTGATGTGTACAGCATAATTGCTTGCTCCATGGCGAAGCTCCATACCAGCACTACCTTGTTAGATATGGGGGACCCAGCAATCCATATTTTTAACAAGTACTCAACATGATCCTGATGTCAGCATTTTCCAGACCTCAGGCTGAAAAACTCCTCCCTTTGGTTTCATCTTGCCCCAATTCCACATTTCCCTCCATCAGTGCAAGACCATTCTTCTGCCTTCCATGGCAATTTATCATTTTCTTCCTGTATATACATACTCATTTAATGCAAACTGAAACCTAAGCTCTTCTTTCAAGCTTTACCTTTCCCAAGTTAAATTAACTTCCTGTTTGTCCCTGTCCAGCCTTTTCTTAGCATATACCACCTTCCCCACTTGCCTTAAACACCTCACTCCTCTCTTCTCTATTTATGCCTCCTGTTGTGCTGCAGGCTCTTGGCAGCATCTCCTGAGAGGCAGTCTTTTCTTCTCACTGGATTGCATCTCCTTTGAGCTGGAGCTTTTAAACTTTAAACCCCCTCCAGGCACTAGAAGAATTCAAAGCACTTATAAAGGATTGACTAGCCCCTCCTCACCTCGCTTATCTACCACAATTTCCAGAATATAGTAATGTAGTCATTTTCAGGATGTGAACATTTTGTTGACAACAAGGATTTGTTTTTAGAATAAAAACATTTAGCATTATTTGGGTAGAAGGAACAGGAGTTAGAATTAATGCATAGTTTTACATTTTAGCTTCATTCACCTAAGTTCATATTTTTTAAAAATATAAATGTCAGCTGTCCTTTCACTATTCATCTTAGTAAATGCACTTGGTGCCAAAGGGGAATAAATATTCTGAAACAATAAATATAAGCATATGTGGATAAATGCAGCCGGGCTAGAACAAATCATCTGTCTTCGAAAACCATGGAACAGGATCTTAGAACTAATGATGGGAGCCCAGTGAGTAAATGTCAAATGGGAGATGAGCTTTTGTTTGATATTTCCTCACTTGTGACTAATCAAGCCCAGCTGTGACGTGAACTGGGGACCCACAGCGTACTCTCCGAGTGTCAGTCTTTGGCTGTGGAACAGAAGGAGAATGTCAAGCTGCTAAGTTTTTTGACATAAAACTGGCACTAAAGCCAACAGATTTTGATACTGCCTGTCTTCATATTGACTGTATATTCAATCTCTATTTTGAAAGGGAATGCATGTAGCTCCACCTTCAAATAAAAAACCCTATCTTTAGAAAATACGACATAGATTTCTGGATGCCTAATGTATTCTATGGAATCCAGGAATACATTTATATGGAAAGCTGTGAGAGAAACTGACAGTCTGATACCACTACTGTTCTCTTTCACTAATATTTAGTCACAAGAAGTATTTTGATTATTATACTTGTACTGACATAACTCCAAGTTAATAGTAGTTTTAAGGATAATTTGCCTTTTTTTTTTTTTTTTTTTGAGGAGTGGGCTTTGGAGAGCTTCAGAAAGATGAAAAAGCTTTCTAAATCCACAAAAATAAATTACCTTGGGGACAAGTAACACTTCTTATGGTAGCCATTGTCTAAATTATCAACTTTATTTATATCCACTCAAAGAATTAGTTGTGTAATGAGATGCATGGTAATTCTGACTTCAATCCACCTGACTGTATCAAAGATCACATATATGCAGCATGCTGTACAATAATTTATATGGAAATTTCTTAATGCAGTGTTTCCTATGATGCACCAAGCATTTTATGGCTTCACTTTGGTTTATAATTAGCCTCTCAATGTAATAGGCATATAGCTTGAATTTTAAGAATTGTTGCTATTTCTGGACAAAGAAAGATGCAAATTCTTTTTCTGATTGATTTTGTAATTGAAGTAAAAAACAGCTATAAGCTTCTGATTCATTTGCAGGAGCAAGTGCAATGGGCACTACCTGGTGCTAGGTTTATTAAATTATAAAATGTATACAATCATCAGATACCATAAACTTTCTGGTAATTTAAACCAGAAACTCAAGACTTACCTTTGACACAGCACTACCTGCTCCCTATAGCCAAAACATCACCAAATGTCCCTCCTAAGTATTTCCCCAAACATCAATCCCTCCATCTCCATCACTGCCACTGTGATACAGGCTGCCCACCCCTCCTCAGTGGATTACCGCAATGGCCTCCTGTTGGGTCTCCCAAATCCACTTATCACTCTGTATCTACAGTGACATGTTTTAATATGCCAATTTTATTATATCACCTTCCTTCTTAAAAACCCTCAAATGAAGAAAAACCTTCCTAATATAGACTATAAATATCTGCAAATCTGGCCTCCCTCACATTTCTGTCCTTATACTGCACCCTATCTCTCCTTCACCTCCTCGCTCCTACCGCACTGGCTGGCCTCCATCTGCTACACGGTCACATATCAGGGCTTTTGCATATATATACACTTTGACGTTTTTATTTTCAGATCTCAGCTAAGTCATCTCCTTTAGAAAGTTTAATACCATTATTATAAAGTCACCGCACTCCTCTCTGTATCTCCCATCAAAGCTTCCAGTTTGTATTTTTAAAACAATATTTGAATAATATCTATCTTCTCAATTAGACTGTAAATTCCATGAGATCTGAAACTCAGTCATTGTGGTTAGCACTTTATCTATAGTATCTAGTTAATAAGTCCACATAACAAATATTGGTAGCCCGATTAATCAACCACTCATCACCGTCGTCAACTCTGGAACAATGCTTCCTGTCTTTGCCTTGATTGGCTAGAAAACAGTGAACAAATCAAGATCTCCACTGTAAAAATACGAAGGACCAAAATGATAACAACAACAACAACAAAGCACTTACCACAGTCAATCTCATCAGTGTGATCACCACAATCATCTACCAAATCACATAACAGAAGCTTTTCTATGCAAGCCTTGCTGCATCAACACCAGAAAAAGTCCAGCTCTTCACAGCTCTCTGCAGGAAGGGGAAGGGTACAATTTTCAAATCTGATGTCATCAATAGCTGAGACTCATCATAAATGCCAAGACTGACTTTATCTAGTGACAAATGGAAGGGCTGAGTAAGGCGTCCAAGCTGAATAGTGGCCTGTGACCACTGGTTGCCCTGGTTATACAATACTCTCCAGAGTACTGTAGAGTCGTTGGAATCTTCCACATGTAGCTGTAGCTCAGCTGCTCCCACTGACAGACCATGGTCATAAAACCTGAAAAAGAACAAACACAAGGAATGGAAATGATTTATTCAATAGACTAAATATTTAACTTATGGCTCTTTCACTCAGTCAACTGTTTATTAATAATTAGCTACAATGGATGCCTTTATTTCTTGCAGTAATCATTGCTGCTCATATGCGAGAGCTTATCTGCTGAGGTGCATACTCTGGCTCCAGGACCCTGGGAGCCTTTCTCAAGGAGTTCCATCCAGAACAGAGGAGGCAGAGTTAATTAAATTATAATCCACTGTTGGAGGGAAAGAGTCTCTTTCATCTAAAGAAAGAACACAACAAATACTGATAATGTGCTTCTAAGTAAAATGCTAATTGTATAAATATAACAGTACCTATTTTTAAAGCCAAACCAAGGGCAAATCATAAAGTCTAACAAGTGCAGAAGTACGCCTGCAACCACCAGGTTGCTGGGGTAGCTGACCACAGTTTTTAGTATTTACCAGAAGGAAAGTATGCATCCAGGTCCTGCCTGGCTAAACGTTGGGCTCTGGAGTTTGGCAACTTGTGACAAGCTTCTGCTTTCTTCAGAATGAACATAAAATGCCCTATTGAGATACAAATACAAATTGTAAGTTAGCCGACTGAGTTGAGGCACCTGCCTCTTAACCTTGTACTAAGCTCTGTGTCTGACTAAAATTAAGACTATACAATTAAGACTAAAATTAATTAAGACTAAAATTAAGACTATACAATTAAAAATCAATAAATATGATGAGTCAAATTTGCTCTTATGAAAACTAAACTAGTATCTACCTCCAGGTTGAAAATCATGCAAAAAGTTAATAATTTAAGTGAATTCAGCCAAAAGTATATCTATACTCCCTCCCCAACCCCCTTAAAGGAGTCATTTCATACTAACAACATAAACATAATTGATAGTATTTAGCTATTTGTCACACTATTTGTTGCAGTAACATAGAGCTTTAAATGCTTATCTTTCTCTTAACAGGCCTGACCAAGGGTGAACAAAAACCTCTCCTTGCTTATTACCTTCAGTTGTGTTGGGAGTATGATCCCTAGGTGGAGCCTGTTGCTCAAATTCAGCCAAAAGTTTACTTCTAGAGTTCCATACCCAATCAAAATGGTCACCACTAATTGCTCCAAACCAACCACAGCTATCTGCTTCAAAGTCACATTTGGAGCCTGAAAAACAAAATGTGACTCCTAGGATGGCTCTCCAGAGTATTCATATACTTTAGAATGGGTAAAGTTCAACTGAAATCACCTTGTTATACTTCTCTAAGTACATTAAAGGATACATTTTAGATCCTATCTGATCTAAAAAGAAATAAAAATCAGAGTTGTGCTTTCCATACTGAAAAATTAATAAAGCAGATCTATCAATTTAAGAAATTACATTTTTACCAAATAATTTTTCAAAGAAACAGCATTATTCAGCTATATTGAGTATAGAATTGCCAAGGTCTACCTAATTTATTCAATACTCATGTTATTTCTCTGCCACTATGACATTATTTGGAAGACTTCATTGTCCCTACAAATTATTTTATACTAAAATATGAAAAGTAGCTACTTCAAAAAAAATTAAAATTTGAAAAACCAAGATTATTATAATTAATATTACGTTCACCACCGATTTTATAGAGTTTATTTCCCAAAGTACTGTTTGCATTGCATAATATTTATAGGGCAGAATAAGTTGACCCACTTTTCAGGAAATAGGTAAGAAATAGTTAATTTCCACAAAGCCATTAGAAAAGAGGAAGAGAGGGATCCCTGGATGGCGCAGCGGTTTGGCACCTGCCTTTGGCCCAGGGGGCGATCCTGGAGACCCGGGATCGAATCCCACGTCGGGCTCCCGGTGCATGGAGCCTGCTTCTCCCTCTGCCTGTGTCTCTGCCAATCTCTCTCTCTGTGTGACTATCATAAGTAAATAAAAATTAAAAAAAAATAATCTCATGGTGAGGTTATTTAAAAAAAAAAAAGAAAAGAGGAAGAGAAAGGCAGGACTGAGAAGTTATAATAATGGTATGAATTATAGCTAATATTTAATAGATGCCTATGTCATAGACCCTGTACTAAACACTTTATATAGATCCAACTTTCACAATAGCCCAAGGAAGAAAGGAAAGTTCAGGGAAGTTATTAATCTAACTAAGGTCATAGAGTTAGGAAACTATATAATATGGATTGAAATCCAAAGATTTTTCACTCCAATGATAATTAAGACAAGTTAGGGGAAAATGCTAAGAATATTTAAAACTACATTTTTATAGGCCATCTCTGTTTATAAATACATAATATATAAATAACTCATAAATATACCTGGATTTCAGTGGTTTCAAAGTATGTCGTTGCCATTTCAATCCCTGGGAAAGTAATGCTTTTGATTCCTTTTTCAGACAATTAAAAAAAACCAAAGGGGGACGCCTGGGTGGCTCAGTGGTTGAGCATCTGCCTTCAGCTCAGGGCATGATCTCAGGTCCAGGGATCGAGTCCCACATCAGGTTCCTGCAGGGAGCCTGCTTCTCCCTCTGCCTATGTCTCTGCCTCTCTGTCTCTCATGAATAAATAAAATCTTAAAAAAAAAAAGGATCCAGGAGTTCTTTTATGAAAATACAGAAAGAAAACAAGTTATTGCTACTATGGAATAGTTATCCCACATAGTTACCTGGAAAGGGAGCCTTATTGTCTATTGTTTGCTATCCAAGGAGATACCAATGGAAAGGGAGCCTTATTGTCTATTTTTTGCTATCCAAGGAGATACCAATGTAGAAATAAATGAATATACTAATGGTGGTAAAATTTCAGAAACCACTGTGGCAATTTTCTAGTTTTCTTAGATAAGATCCATCAAAGACAGCAATTTTTAACAGATGATTTGCTGCTAAAATTTAAATATGCCTATCTAATACACTGTGTTCCCAAATATTTAGATTTCTATACACATTTTAAAAACTCACCTCAGCTGGTCAGAGATGTAATAAACCAGCTGAAATTAATCTAGCTAGCTGTTAACCAAGTATATACTTCATAAGAACAGCTATTAAAAATTCTGTATGTTGGGACACCTGGGTGGCTCATCAGTTGAGCAACTGCCATCAGTTCAGATCGTGATCCCAGGGTCCAGGATTGAGTCCCGCATTGGGTTCCCTGCAATTCTTCCTCTGCCCAAGTCTCTGTCTCTCAGTGTTGTTCATAAATAAATGAATAAATAATCTTAAAAAAAGTCTTTTCTTTCTTTCTTTCTTTCTTTCTTTCTTTCTTTCTTTCTTTCTTTCTTTCTTTCTTTCTTTTTTTGGTGTTCAATTTGCCAACATACAGAATAACACCCAGTGCTCATCCCGTCAAATGCCCCCCTCAGTGGCCGTCACCCATTCACCCCCACCCCCCACCCACCTCCCCTTCCATCACCCCTAGTTCATTTCCCAGAGTTAGGAGTCTTTATGTTCTGTCTCCCTTTCTGATATTTCCTACCCATTTCTTCTCCCTTCCCTTCTATTCCCTTTCATTATTATTTATATTCCCCAAATGAATGAGACCATATAATGTTTGTCCTTCTCCGATTGACTTATTTTACTCAGCATAATACCCTCCAGTTCCATCCACATTGAAGCAAATGGTGGGTATTTGTCATTTCTAATGGCTGAGTGATATTTTCAGACTTAGAGATATAATAGTCTGGGTAAATTTTAACAATTGAGGTTCAAAGATTGTTCACTTTTCTGGAGCCTCACTATTGACTTCCTTAATTATCATCATTATCAGAAACAACATAATTTGCAAGAATCACAGTTATCACTACTTCAGGGTTTATTGTATACCAAGCTTTGTGCTAGAGGCTGTTATGTTCATCATAGGATGACATAGTTTCTTTTTTTAATTTTTTTAAGACATTATTTATTTATTCATGAGAGAGACAGAGAGAGGCAGAGACAAAGGCAGAGGGAGAAGCAAGATCCCCACAGGAACCTGATGCAGGACTCGATCCCAGACCCCAGGATCATGCCCTGAGCCAGAGGCAGACGCTCAACCACTGACCCACCCAGGTGTCCCTGACATAAAGTTTCTAAAACTTATTTGTCTATTTCTATTTCTATGGATATGAGTAAAAAACCTAGTGACTCTATAGCAGCTTTTAATTATTTTCAGTAAAATTACCCTTGTTGCCACTATCAGTTATATAAATATAATTATAGTAGCTACCCCCAAGGAAAGGAAGTTAGGGGATATTTGGTAGAAAGACACGCAGGTCCATCACCCTACACTATCACTGTCACATTGAGAGCTTTTCACTAGGAGAGAAGAAATTAAATTTATGTAGGAGCCAAGGAACCTTGGCAGGGTGATGGATACAGAATTAGATGGTCTTATATCAGACTTACTGTTAGAACTTCTTTGATGGTTTGAGATGATTCCTACAGAGAATCATGTATAAGAAATACACATGAAATGAGCAAAGCACTGGAGCTGATAACTTGGGTCTCATGCAAAGACTTAAAAATTTATAGAAGGATACTCTTTGATATATACCCAAAGGAACCCAAAACACAGCCACACAGAAACCTGTACATGGCAATTCCTAACTGCCAAAACATGGGAAAAAAAAAAAAAAGTCCCTCAATAGGTGAGTGGACAAACCGTACTATACCCAGACAGTGGAGTGTTATTCAGCACTAAAAATAAATGAACTATCAAGCCATGAAAAGCCATGGAGGAAACTTAAATGCATATTACTAAGTGAAAGAAACCAGTCTGAAAAGGCTGTAGGCTTTCAACTATTTAACATTTTTATTTTATTTTATTTTATTTTATTTTAACATTTATTTTATTTTAACATTTTATTTTAACATTTACTGTAGGCTTTCAACTATTTAACATTCTGGAAAAGGCAAAAATATGAAAAGAGTAAAAGGAGGGGTGGTTGCCACAATTTAAAGGTGGGGGGAAGACTGATGAGGTGATTCACAAGAGTATTTTCAATACAAGAGCAATGTCATGAAAATACTTTGTATGATACCATATTGACAAATAGATTTTACCACACATTCTTCCAAACCCACAGAATGTATCACACCAAGAGTGGATCATAATGGGCTTTGAGTAATTATGATGTATCAGTGTCGATTCATCAGTTGTGACAAGTGTCCCCCTCCCCTGCCCCCTGGGAAATCTTGATGTAGGAGAGGCTCTCTCTCTCTCTCTCTCTCTCTCTCTCTCTGTGTGTTGTGTGTTGTGTGTTGTGTGTGTGTGTGTGTGTGTGTGTGTGTGTGTGTGTTTAGGACAGGAGAGGTATGTGGGAAATCTCTAATTTTTCCTCAACTTTTCTGTGACTTGAAAACGGCTCTGAAAAAAAAAGTCATAATAATTAGTTGAGCTGCAGAAGAAAAGTCTGAGCTAGCAGAGGTTAGTTCATGAGGTTTAAGAAAAGAGGCCATCTCTATGACATAAAAATGCAAGGTGAAGCAACAAATGCTGATGCAGAAGCTGCAGCAAGGTATCCAGAAGTTGTAGCTAAGAGAATTAATGAAGGCAGCCACACTGAACAGCAGATTTTCAATGTAGATTAAACAGCCTCATAGTGGATGTTAGGACTTTCATAGCTAGAGAGAAGTCAATGTCTGGCTTTAAAGCATCAAAGGACAGGCTGACTCTCTAAGTTAGGGGCTAATGCAGCTGGTGACTTTAAGTCAAAGCCAATACTCATTTACTGTTATGAAATTCCTAGGGCCCTTAAGAATTATGTTAAATCTCTTCTATCTGCGCTGTATAAATGGAACTGCAAAGCCTAGATGACCGTACATCTATTTATGACATGGTTTCTTGAATATTTTAAGTCCACTGTTGGACTGACTGCTCAGAAAAAAAAAAGATTCATTTCAAAATATGACTGCTCGCTAACAACGCACCTGGGCACCCAAGGGCTTTGATGGAGAGGTACAATGAGATTAATGCTGTTTTTATACCTCTAATACAACATCCATTCTGCAGCCCATGGATCAAGTGGTCATTTTCAACTTTCAAGGCTTAATATTTAAGAAACACATTTCATACAGCTATAGATGCCATAGATACTGATTTATCTGATGGATGTGGGAAAAGTCAATTGAAAGCCTTCTGGAAAGGACTGACCATGCTAAATGCTATTAAGAACATTTGTGATTCGTGAGAAGCATTCAAAA